TGAACAAGGTAATGGGCCTAAGATTCGCTTGGAAGAAGGTTCTGACTTGGTTGATAAAGAAGGTGAAATAGCTGTTGTTGCTAATGACCACATTTTGGCTCCGAGAAATGAAGAACCAGAGCAGGAATTTTTTGCAGAAGTTTTCACTTCAGAAATACCAAGAATAGCAACATCATTAACAAACTCGCAAACAGTTGAAACACCCTCAAATGTGAGTCTAATAAATTTTTTTATGAGTATTGGATGAGACTATTTTTATTTTACACCTTTTTATCTGCAACTTATTACACCAAAGCTACATAGCATTTGTTCTTGCGCAGAGTATTGAGCAAGTTGCCGTAGAGGAAACCATAGCAAAGAACACCAATATGGCAGCTTCATCAATTCTTTCTCCACCTGTTAATACTCAGTTGGACCAGAAAATTACTTTCCAAAGCAAATCATATCCACATGTAAGTTTATTTTAAACAATTCACATCTCCAACTTATTTGGTCAATATAAACATGATGTCATTCTAATTTATCATTTTCCGCATAAATGAAATTAAGAAAAACAAAACACACTGAATTTCAAATTGAGATTTAAATTTAATAAATCTGTAACCATCACGTTCATAGTTTAACTTCTACTCCTTGCATTTTTATGATTTTATCAAAATTGGTATTAAGAAACTAAATGTTTTGCAATTATTATTGCTTGATGCTAACGTCTTGTCTGTTATATATTTTCTTCTTATTCCTCTCAGAGTGAAACTACAAGCAGCCAAACTGAGGCAGGCACTGCTAAAGAAATTGACCATCCTAAAATTGTTCAGGACTTTGGGACCAACGATGTCATAAGCTTATTTGCATCAGGAAAAGAGAGTAGAGATAGCCCAGTAGGAAAGACCCTTGGTGAGCTAGAAAATTTTTTGAAGATGTCTCTGAAGGACGTAGTTAGCTCTGAAACTGACACTCTTCGTCTTTGGTCTACTCTTAATTTGCTGTCCAACCTTCCTTTCAAAGATGTGACTCTATCAGATAGACTCAAACGTATTATAGACACTATGCTCCAACACTTCCCAACCATTCTACGCTCCTTTAAGCAAGGCTTTGCTGCCACCGACAAGCTNTGGGAAAGCTTGAAGCTTGTCAGAATGAGGTGGCCACTACTCTTGTTTCCAAAATTTCTGAGGCAGAGAATTTCTACAATGAAGCTCAACTGAAGGAAGTTGTTTTGAAGGAACAAATAAAAGTTTATGAGGCTGCCTTATCATCTTTGGAGAAGGAAAAGAATAAATGCATTGCGGAAACTATAGGGTACAAAAAGGAGCTTGAAAATGTGATGAAGGATAAATCTCAAATGTTGGAAGATAAAAGAAAAGTTGAGCAAGAGTTGTTTGACGTGGCTTACAAATGGTCAGATTTGTGTAGTGAATATGAGCTCAATCGCATGTCTGCTACAAATATCCCGTGAGGGTTTTCGTTGTTCATTGATATTGTTAATGTTGCTCTCATCAACTAGTTTCAATTTATTTCCTATATTTCAATTGTTTCATTTTGTTGTATGTCTATTATCTTGTTTGTTGTTGTGTAAGAGGTTGCTCTTTGCTACAAAGACAAGTGCTACGAAAAATCAAAAAGGCTATTTGTTCTTTTATGTAACTTAATATTATTTTTCCTTTAGACCTAAATAATAACATCTTCACTAAAAGGAGTATTGAGATATCATTTACTAAACTTCATCTCCTAGTTTGGAAGTAAACTTCATCACCGACAATTAGGAAGTTCTCAAAGCCACTTGCAATACCTTTTCTGTTTTGAGATTAATGATATTCACTTCTTCATTTTTTTTTTGTATTCAAATATCAACGCCACAATTGTAATGATATTTGTTTGTGCACAATTTTGGACCTCTTGAAATAAGTACAAGACTTTTGGAACAAACCAATCTGTTTGAGGACTTTTCGGCAACTCTAGTCAAAATAATTTACATCAACTATGGAGTTTCTAATATTTAAGTTGATTAATTGTAAAAATAAGTAAATAAGTTGTTAAAAATGAATTGGCTTATAACCATATGTAACACTTTATAACTTAATATCTTCTACATATAACCATACACCAATATTTCAACCGTTCAACATAATTAAAGATTTTATCCATTTAGAAAAATCTTTATATATATATATATATATTATTGCATAATTACCTTAATGCTTTCTAGAGTATATATCCAATATAATTATAACGATATACCATAACAATACATAAAATAGGGTTGGCTAATTTAATTAAAATAATTTATGATATAAATAATTTCGTCACTGGTTAAAAGTAACAAATTATATCAAGTTTAACTCATCCAATCATGTCCAAATGTAATTGATAGAAAAATTAAGATAAGCAACAATTCTTATAAATACCTCAAGTTCTAAAAAAAACGTTTATACTTAAAAGTCAAAAAATTGCAACAAATATTGATAGTGTGATATATTCCCAATAAAAAAAGTGGTAACTAGAGTTGTAGACCTCTTTTCTAAATTATTCCTAAGCGGTTGTAAATCTAACATCCAAATATACAACTTTATTCGTTCTTGGGACGAGGGAGGCTAGTTCGAAGAGCCAGGCGCATACTCCATTCTCGTGGCACAATGAGTGTTGCCGCAACGGGTTTGATTTCCGACGACATCGCTGATTGACTTAACCAGCAAAAACAGCACCCAACAAGACTTTTCACAAACAGTTTGGTGCTTGGAATTCCAAAAATTTAAACTTATGCAATAAACGATCTATCAAGCAGGGAAGCACTCAAAATGAACCTAAGATAGGTGCTAGAACTGATTAAGAAAGTAAGAAACAGAAACAAGTTAACATGGCTTAAGCAATTCATGGCTTGCACCTGATACTTTCTCATTTAAGCAATATATCACAGAATCAACATGCACTGAAAATGACAACAAAGTCAAAACAGAATGAAATAAGAATGTGTTGATTGTGTTGGATACACGAGCACACAAGTGTAGACTCTAGAGTTGAGTATGATATAAGAACGGCAAAAAAAGTGTAATAAAGGATATCTATAAGGTAAAATCTGTAATAAGTAATAGGTATGATCATTTTAATTACCCGCTTATTGATAGGATGAGTATAGATACATAGTATCAACTTCTGAACACTCATTATCTTGGTGGAAAAGAAAAGAACCAATTGTTAAGAAAAAGGTATATATGGTTGTTAGAGTGTTGAGAAAGTGTGGTTTTATTCTGTTGTGTTGCGTGTTGGAGTGATTCAAGCAATGCATTACTTTCATCTCTCTCTCGAGCTATCAAGAAATTCTAATCCTTTTCTTTGCAATGGAAGAAGCTCTACTTATCATCTCTTTCTCTTAATCTTTCTCTTTCTCTTTCTACACTATCTATCGAGGTATCTCTCTCTGTTAATGTAAACTTATCTATCTTTCCTCATTTTCACTTCCATCATTATAAATTTAATAAATTCTATGTTTTATGAGATGCATATTACTAAAATTACCTATTATCTTACATTTTCAGTTTCAACAAATGATTAAGACAACAAAACTTATATCCCTTTGATTATTTTCATTTTGGGTAATCAATGAAAGATCTATTGATTATTCTTACATCTAGTTTCTGTTCTCGCAGATTTTAAATCCTAATTTTTTCGTATTGCTGATCATTTCGTCATCAATAATAAAGTTCATAAACATTTATAAAACATAACATACAAAAATGTAAAATGTAATTAATAATAATTACATATTTTTTCGTCACTGAAAGAAATTAGTGGACTAGTTATAATGATAGTTACCTTACCAAATTTAGGTTTAGCATTGAAATTGTATTGGTGAAAATGACACATTTATTGGAAAAGTTCTAGCATCAGTGATAGACTATCTTTGTAATATTTTTTCGCAATCATATCTTTGTGATATCTTTAGTAACTTTAGAGCCACTAACTCAATCATATTTTTTCAATTTGTGATACACAGGAGATTGGGGACGTAAGAAATGATAGTATTAAAGAGGGGCCTGCAGCAGAGGGTGCTAAGACAAAATCTTTGTCAACTGGTGTTGAAGACATTGGCATTGGAGGTGGTGTTGCAACTCACATTGTACAAGATTCTCAGGCTGTTGAACGAGCTGATGGGCCTAAGATTAGCTTGGAAGAAGGTGTTGCTTCTAATGACCACATTGGGACCCTGAGAAATGAAGAAGCAGAGGAGGAATTTGTTGCAGAAGTTTCCACTTCAGAAATACCAAGAATAGCAACAACATTAACAAGCTCACAACCAGTTGAAAGGTCAACTCCAAGTTGTTTGAACATGCCTCTACGTGAAACACCCGAAAATGTGAGCTTCATCAATATGGCAGCTTCATCAATTCTTTCTCCACCTGTTAATACTCAGTTGGACCAGAAAATTACTTTCCAAAGTAAATCATATCTACATGTAAGTTTATTTTAAACAATTCACATCTCCTACTTATTTGGTTAATATAAATATGATGTTGTCATTCTGATTTATCATTTTCCGCATAAATAAAATTAAGAAAAACAAAACATACTGAATTTCAAATTGGGATTTAAATTTAATAAATCTGTTTCCGTCACGTTCATAGTTTAACTTCTACTCCTTGTATTTTTATGATTTTATCAAAATTGGTATTAAGAAACTAAATGCTTTGCAATTATTATGGCTTGATGCTAACGTCTTGTCTGTTATATATTTTCTCCTTATTCCTCTCAGAGTGAAATTACGAGCAGCCAAACTGAGGCGGGCACTGCTAAAGAAATTGACCATCCTAAAATTATTCCGGACTTTGGGACCAACGATGTCATAAGCTTATTTGTATCAGGAAAAGAGAGTAAAGATAGCCCAGTGGGAAAGACCCTCGCTGAACTAGAAAAGTTTTTGAAGATGTCTCTGAAGGACGTAGTTAGCTCTGAAACTGACACTCTTCGTCTTTGGTCTACTCTTAATTTGCTGTCCAACCTTCCTTTCAAAGATGTGACTCTATCAGATGGACTCAAACGTATTATAGACACTATGCTCCAACATTTCCCAACCATTCTACGCTCCTTTAAGCAAGGCTTTGCTGCCACCGACAAGCTGGGAAAGCTTGAAGCTTGTCAGAATGAGGTGGCCACTACTCTTGTTTCCAAAATTTCTGAGGCAGAGAATTTCTACAATGAAGCTCAACTGAAGGAAGTTGTTTTGAAGGAACAAATAAAAGTTTTTGAGGCTGCCTTATCATCTTTGGAGAAGGAAAAGAATAAATGCATTGCTGAAACTATAGGGTACAAAAATGAGCTTGAAAATGTGATGAAGGACAGATCTCAAATGTTGGAAGATAAAAGAAAAGTTGAGCAAGAATTGTTTGACGTGGCTTACAAATGGTCAGATTTGTGTAGTGAATATGAGCTCAATCGCATGGCTGCTACAAATATCCCGTGAGGGTTTTCGTTGTTCATTGTTATTGTTAAGGTTGCTCTCATCAACTAGTTTCAATTTACTTCCTATATTTCATTTGTTTCATTTTGTTGTATGTCTGTTATCTTGTTTGTTGTTGTGTAAGAGGTTGCTCTTGGCTACAACGACAAAACAAGTGTTACCAAAAATCAAAAAGGCTATTCGTTCCTTTATGTAACTTATTTTTCCTTTAGACCTAAATAATGACATCTTCACTAAAAGAGTACTGAGATATCATTTACTAAACTTCATGTGCTAGTTTGGAAGTAAACTTCATCACCAAAAATTAGGAAGTGCTCAAAGCCACTTGCAGTACCTTTTCTGTTTTGAGATTAATGGTATTCACTTCTTCATTTTTTGTATTTTAATATCAACGTCACAATTATAATGATCTTTTTTTTGTGCACAATTCGGACCTCTTGAAATAAGTACAAGACTTTTGGAACAAACCAATCTATTTGAGGACTTTTGGGAAACTCTAGTGAAAATAACATGATTGTAGACTCTTGGAGCAATCTGATTTACATCAACTACGGAGTTCCTAATTTTTCTTCAACAAGTTAAAATTAAAAATTACTTATAATTAAAGCTTTTATCCATTTAGAAACAACTTTATATATATATATATATATATATATATATATATTATTGCATAATTACCTTAATACTTTCTAGAGTATATATCCAATATAATTATATCGATGTACCATAACAATACATAAAATAGGTTGGGCTAATTTAATTAAAATAATTTATGATATAAATCATTTCGTCACTATGGTTAAAAGTAACAAATTATATCAACTTTAACTCATCCAATCATGTCCAAATATAATTCATAGAAAAATTAAGATAAGCAACAATTCTTATAAATATACCTCAAGTTCTAAAAAAAAAACGTTTATACTTAAAAGTCAAAAAATTGCAACAAATATTGGTAGTGTGATATTTTATTAATAAAATAGTGGTAACTAGAGTTTTAGACTTCTTTTCTAAATTATTCCTAAGCAGTTGTAAATCTAACATCTGAATATACAACTTTCATGAATACTAAAAAGCCTAACTTGAAAAGCATTTAATCACTAAATATGACAATACTTGTTCTTCAAAACTAGAGTGTAGATTTGTGAATAGGTGACAAGATTTTAATGATGGCTTTGAACGTGCTTGTTATTGGGAATGAACTTCCTTGTCCTGAGGGGAAATATCCACTTGCAAAAAAAATTTTGATGTTCAGTTTGAGAGTTAGGATCTTTATGCAAAATCGAGTGTATAAGTGTTTATGAAGTGAGCATTCCTTGAAAAATACTAGTTATATTTATAGGATCACTACGAGTTGTTATCATATTATAATAACACTTATTTGGGAAGAATAATCACAATCTAATAAATAATAACAGAATGATAAATAATAACTAACATGCCAAACTACTGAGATTTAGTTATAATATGTAAATATGGTCCAAATAGGTATAGGTTTGGATTTCTTCATATTGAAGAGCCTTAAAGGGCCTTATTGGGTTGTGTTCATAATATGCCTATTGGGTCGGGTAGGAACATAAGTCCCCCAGTCTTAGGAGTTTGGTTTGGGGAGAGTTGGGTGGCTTGCATATGAATTGGCCATTCGGTTGTTCATGGTTGGACCATTTGGTCATGCTTTGTAGGTGGATTGGCGTTGAGGCCGAGTTCATAATATAATTTGGCCATTCGGTCGTGCTTTGTAGGTGGATTGGCCTTAGGGTCGAGTTCATTTAGGTGGTTAATCTAGCCGAGTAATATGTAATTGGGTTAAATATGTTTTCAGTCTCTCAATTAGCAAGCGATTTTGTTTTTCGTCCCTATTTCAAACTTTGTACGTTTTGATCCCTCTCCTTAAGGAAACCATAATTTTTGGTCCTCTAAAACAAACGGCGTTAATAATCAGGTGAGGTGACTAACGTCTGGCCACGCTGGAAACTTAGAAACTCTCTCTATCTGTGCAACATTTGATATTTTTCAATACAAAGTCAGAACAGTGGTCACACACACACGAACGCCAACACACCTCCACTAACTCAGGTTGTCGCCGACGAAGTTTGTTGCTGCTGGGGAAGCCATCGGAGTTTCCCTTCCTTTTCTTCCAAGCATTAGGGTTTCTTTCTTCTTTTTCAATCTCTACAACGCTGATCAGGAATGTATATTCATAAAGAATTTCTAAACTTTCACCTTGAAGACAATATGAATCTTCATGGAAGATTATTGATAGATTTGATACAATTTACAAACGAAGGTCTATAGTTAGTACAATTGTAATTACATAACTGTAACATACTATTCTAAATAGTCTTATATATCACTCTATTTGATTTAGATTATCGAGATCTACGTTATATCATAAGTGTCAATACTTAATACATAATTCAAATAATTGTTCACACATCATCCTATATGTTTGACCCCAAATTCAATTAATTCAATCAATTTCAATAATCATTTTCTTACAACATAATTTACTTAAAAAACAAACTTAAGAAAAAATGAATTATACAAACTGCTATTTTGCATTTATAATATACATTCAACAATTCATTAAATAGACAAGAAAACAATAAATAAAAAAAAATATTGAATTTTAACTTGAGCCAAAACAGGTTAGCTTAAGTGAAGATTTTCTCATTTGAGAGAAATTTAAGAAAAAGTAAGATTGAATTATATAGTTATTTTCACTTGAGCAAATAGAGTAGAGAACACCATTAATTTTAAGCTCTATTTTTACTAGAGTGAAAATAGAATCGAGGAGAAGGTTTGCATCTCTATTTTATATTTGTCCAAGCCAAAATTCTTCATTCAAGCAAAAGATATTAGAAATATCAACTCGGCAGCAAACATACTTAATTAATTTACAAAGATGTTTTAAAAAGCATTTTAATAATATAACTTTTAACCCATTCAAATAATCATTCCATGATTTGTTCAAACAATATCTTTTATTAATTTCAATTAAACTTGGTTACTCAATCTCACTATATACTTCTATTCGCATCAGGCACAAAAATAACATTGAATATTTTGATTCAAACAATCACAATTTGAATTAATTTTAATTATTTATTTGTTGATGAGACATGTTTATATATCATGTTATCCAATCTATGAATATTCCTTACCCACTAATAATTGTTATTGAATTTTATTAGAGTTTTTCTTTTCGAAAATCAAATGATAAAAATAAAGTTATTAATGAAAAAAATTAATCATAGAATATTTTTTAAAAAAATTGATTTTTATACATATAATTTTTTTTATCAACAATAAAGATTAAATAAATATGATGAGACATTTTATATATTTAAATATTTTAAATTTAAATCTATAAAATTGAAGTCATTCATAAAAATATTAAATTCTAAAACTTATACTTTAAGACTTTTTGATGCTTAGTTTGAGAGTTAGGATCTTTATGCAAAATCGAGTGTATAAGTGTTTATGAAGTGAGCATTCCTTGAAAAATATATTTATAGGATCAATACGAGTTGTTATCATATTATAATAACACTTATATGGGAAGAATAATCACAATCTAATAAATAATAACAAAAGGATAAATAATAACTAACATGCCAAACTACTGAGATTTAGTTATAATATGTAAATATGGCCCAAATAGGTATAGGTTTGGATTTCTTCATATTGAAGAGCCTTAAAGGGCCTTGTTGGATTGTGCTCATAATATACCTATTGGGTCGGGTAGGAACATAAGTCCCCCAGTCTTAGGAGTTTGGTTTGGGGCGAGTTGGGTGGCTTGCATATGAATTAGCCATTCGGTCGAGTTCATGGTTGGACCATTTGGTCATGCTTTGTAGGTGGATTGGCCTTAGGGTCGAGTTCATTTAGGTGGTTAATCTAGCCAAGTAATATGTAATTTGACCTCGGGGACAAAATGACTAATGTTTGCAAAGAGGATTCTGCTTATACAAAGACCCAAACCATCTAACAAGCCAAAACTGACAATTATTTGAGTTCCTTCACTCCATAACAGATACAAAAATTGCTAAAGATGTTAGAAATCATTGACAATTCTTCTCACTCACATAGTGTCAATCCAGGACAACGAAATACATCAGGAGACAGACAAGGTAATTTTTTCTAGATTATAGACACAGGGGTCACTGACCATGTGACCCATAAGAAAAAATATTGTCAGTTTATACAAGATCAAACCTATATTTGTCAAACTGCCAAATGATTCTTTTGTCACAGCTCAACATGTAGGGACCATTCAATTATCCAAAAATTTTATTATTTTCAATGTCTTATACATTCATGTTTTTCCATTAACCTGATATATGTCCAAATCTTAACCAGGGACATGAACTGCACTCTAAATTTTTCCTCTGAGATGTCTTAGATACAGGACAATTCTACCTTGAGGAGTCCAAATCTTAATCAAGGACATGAACTGCATTCTAAATTTTTCCTCTGATGTTGGAAATCTTGAGAATTGAGGAATATCCTGGACTTGAGCACATTATAGACATTGAGGATGAATGTGGCAAAGAGAATTTGAAAGGTATCTTCCCAAACTTAAGAATGCTCTCAGCCAATTGAAATATATGTTTGGCCAATATTCAATAGTTAATCAGGATTATAGGGTATTCATATTCATTTCTGGCATTGGAAAGACTCTATCTTCGTAAACTAACAAATTTTGTTAGCATTTGTGCCAGTGACAATCTCATTGTGAAATGGCCATTTGAAGAAGGTTAGGTGTACAAAATGTTCTTATCCTTTTTATGATTATGTTAGTTGTATGATATCCTACAGATTCAACAGAGACTATTAGCACAAGTAGGAAGGCAGTCTTGTCTTTATTTTTATGATTATGATAGGTTTGGTACAATTTACAAAAGAAAAAAAAGAAGGTAGTTAGTACAGTTGTAGTTACATAACTGTAACAGACTATTATAAATAGTCTTATGAGAGGTGAGCAGGCAATTTTGGAGTATTTTGTAACAGAAAAAGTTAGGAGAGACAAGTCCTTTCGAAATACCTTGAAAATGGTACATGGTTGTTCTTGTTCTTACCACATTGGTAGAACAATACTGTTTGGTTTCTTAATAAACATCAAATAATCTATCTTGGAGTTCTCTTGTAAATTCAGGGTACCTATCAACTGGTATTCAAAGTCTCTTTTCTAGTCCTGTAGTAGCTGTTGAGGCATGGTGAATATAAGAATGGAATCAAGATTGGATGGGCTTGAAAAGATGATGCAAGAACAGGATAACGAGTATCATAAGAGGTTTCAATGTCTAGAAGACATGATTTGGGGACTTACAGTGGTGGTGGAGAAATTGTCTTCAACAACGAAACAGACTGATGAGGATTCAGTCGCAATTGGAGGCAATGAGGGCAACTAAGATAACGAGGAGAAAAGTTCTGTAGTCTCCTGCTCAAAATGGAAAAAATTGGATATCCCTGATTTTTTAGGAGAGGAGGCCTATGGGTGGACTAACATATTAGAAACATATCTTCGATTAAGGGAAGTCCGTGAGGAGGAAAGAATGCCGACTGTCAGGGTTGCTTTAGAAGGGAAAGCCTTGAATTGGTTCCAGTGGTGGAAAACCTGCAATCCAAATCCCTCATTCTTTTATCCAATATTGATATTACTTTTGCTAAATGTTTCGAATCTGCTTGTTGTAACCCAAAACTAAACCTGTTAATTGTTCATTGAAAGTGATCACATTTGCATACGCTATTGGCATGGTTTGAGGCAAATCATTCCCAATTTGCAAACAATTTTACCCAAAGAAAATATATTTACAAATTAACTATTTCACTCAGAAAGTACTGCTTCAAGTTTTCAGCCGAGTACTCACCTGAATGTTTTAAAGTGAACACAAATTAATTTTTTTCTGCCATGATTTTTAATTTTAAGTTAGTAATTTTAGTTATGAAGAACACTACTGTAAATAAAACCATCCTTTTTAGGCATAGAGTCACCGCTTTATTTTCATGGGTGATAAAAAGATTCCTATCATGAAGCTTTTGTCATTTTTTAGTTTTAAATCCATCATGAAAAGTTGTGATTGTATCCCCTTTTGTTTGTGTTTCATTGTGACATGATATTTTTTTTGTTATAGATTTCGAAAACACTGCACTTTATATGTGGGACATAGAGGGTGTCATAAGAAATTTTGATGAAGATTCTACTCTTGGTGGTAGCAGTGAGTTCACTTCATCAGAGGTTAGAGCCAACCAATCTATGAATATAAATACAATAAAAAAAAGTTTAATAGCTCTTTCTGTCTCGTTATTAAAACAATTTCTTCAATTTTAACCTACTAAATTTGATCTTCCTTTTTCTAAAACAAATCAATGTGATCCTTTATGTGAAATCTGCGACACTTTCTGCAAAATTCATGGTGATTGTGTTATAAAAACAATATAGTCCAAATAACGAATTATATTTCATTGAAGTTAACTTGTTGAAAAGAAAATGATATGTCCTACTGTAAGATATAAAGGAGAAGAAGAGTGATTACAAAGAGAGGTATATATAAGAAAGCAGCGAAGAAGAACTAATATAACAGAAGTGAATTTGTTTATTTACTAACATCCCCTTAAACTTAGATTACATTCCACTTTAAGTTTATCTTTAAACTTAGTAAAACAAGTAGTAAATTTAGGTTTGGTAATGATGTCAATAACCTGATATCTACCTTGCAAATGAACGAACAAAGTGTAAGTCAAATTCAAAATGATGTGAGAGTGCGTAATAGGTTTTGCGGCTAATAAAACAATCCATAAGTTGTCGAAGTAAATGGTTGGAACAAAAGAAGGAAGACGAAATTCATGAAGAGAGGAAATCCATGTAATTTCAGACAACAAAACAACAATACTCCAATATTTTGCCTCAATACTACTACCAGAAGCAACCCGTTTCTCTTGGAAATTTCACGAAACAGTGTTGCTGAAATAAAAACTTGTTGATGAAAGCCTTTAGCTACAAGCCTTTAAAAAGATTTCGAAAAAGGAGAAAGACCATTTAAGACTTGAGTTGGTAGAATGCTTATAATATGCACAGCAGTAAGAAAAGCTTCCCCAAAAAACTTTTTGAGTAAGGAATTAAAAAGGCTACACAGTATCTTGCACCATCTGTACTAGAAATAGGAGCTGGTCCCCATTATCTATGTAAAAAGGTTCCAAAGGGTGAGAATATACAGTTGTTGATGGGTGAAAGGGTGATTGATGTAGTTTAGCTTTTAAGAAACCCTTTAAGGATGACCTAATTTCTGTCCTGCTTTTTAAAGAACCAAAATTAGCATGAAATTCAAGATAAACATCATTATCTTTTTCAAATTTTCAAACACTAATCTGATTTTTGAAAATATTAGGAGCATGTAAAAGATTAGATAAGAGTAGTAAGGTTTTATTGGAAGGAAAAGAAAAAGAAGTTGAACCAACATGTAAGATAGACATACCAGTACCATTACCTAATTTCACTTTTCATTGCTAGAGTAAGTTCTCTTTGATGTGAAATTGTGTGGATCATGTGTTATGTGATGAGTAGCACCCTTGTTAGGATAGCACAAGGGATCATTGACCGTAGAAGGAGTGCCCAACAGAGAAGGAGTGTCGGTATTTTTTGGAGATAGGCATATAGTGATTAGCAGAAATAGTAGTTTGATTATCAGGTATAAGCAAGTGAGAGCTGTGTGACCAAACTTGTTTCATATTTGACTTTGAACTTTCGAATTGGACCCAGAAGAAGACGGTAAGCAAGAAGAGAGCTATTTGAATTTTTGGAACCAAAAGATTTGGAGTTTCTATTATGACTTTGATACGTGGAAAAAGTTGTTATTTTTATGTAAAGAACCAAATAACCTGTTTCTAGAATTGTTTGCTGAAGATGAAGGACCAAAAGTGATGAAGCTGTCATATTCATCTGATAACCCATCTAAAATAATTTCAATGTGTTCATCAGTTGAAATAGGAGCTCCTATAGCAGCTAATGTGTCCACAATCTTCTCGATATCACGAAGATATGTTGTGATGTTACAGTCTCTTTTTGGTTGCCTGAATTAATTCTTGAGCACTTTGATCTTGGTTCTTGAATGGAAGGCGTAGTAGATACACAACTTTTCCCAAATTTGACATGAGAATTACCATCGAACTTACCATTTTGGTAAGAATAGGTGTATGCATTGATGCTAGAAGCCATGCTACCAGCAGCTGGTCTTGCATCTCGTAGTTGAGAAATTCTTGATTGAGCTTGTTATTTAATACATCTTCAAGAATTCTAAACTGTGGTGGTATATCACAACCTTCCAAGAACTTCATGAGTTGGAAACCTTTAGCAAGCACTTGTTGTTGCCACATCAAAAAACTATCATCGTCCAATTTGAGAGAGATAGGTATATTGAATGTGTGAGAAAGGTAAGTCCCTTGAATATTCAGGAAGCACACTCATATATGAGCATAAAATAAGCTCTTGGAATTCTAACAGATTTATATTACTCAAAGCTAAGGAACAAATTATTGAAGAGGGTTATGAACAATCAAAATTGTTGCTGTCCCCTGATTCAGAAAACAAAGAAAAGCACCATTGGTTGTTCCCTTTCAAATGGCATGAGGTTGATATGCATATTTTCATTTCAATTTTATAAAAAAGAATGAAAATATTCTACCAAATTAAACATCTTCTAGATTTGTGTGAATTGCAAAATATTGAGTGGTATCAAACAAGGAACTGCATTAAATAATGTCATGATAAGCCAACTAATTATGAATCAACTAGAAATTAGTAAACTAAATATGGAAAAGAAGGAAGTATCGTCGAAATAAAAGTTACCTTACCAAACTTAGCTTTAGCATTGTGAAGTGTATTGATGAAACTGGCAACACTTATTGGAAAAGTTGCATTAGTCAGAGACTAGCAATACCAACTCCTATTTTAGAATTTAGAAGCCCACCTCTAATTTGTATAGCAATTTCTCTGCATAAAACACCTGAGCATATAAGTGCAACGATTACTACACTTAAAAATGGGTTTTGTGGTATTAAGACCAACTCCTACCTTGCTTGTTCGATAATTGAAATGAAAGTCGGTGAATCAGGAATCAAACAGTGAAGGAGGCTTTGGAGACCAACATGCACTCGAAAAAACAACAGTAAGAAACCACTATCATACCACCACATGATGTATATTAAAAATGGTGGTCCTTTAATACTCAATCTTATTGATTCAATTTGTTATATACAGGGGATTGAGGACGTAAGAAATGAGAGCATTAAATCTTCATCCACTGGAGTTGAAGACATTGGCATTGGAGGTGCTGTTGCAACTCACATTGCCATGGTAGTTGAACAAGATGATAAGATGAATGAAGGCAAGCCAGGAATAGTGGCAAGCCAAGGAATCCAAGTACAAGAAGGGTTGAACCTTTTGCATAATCAAGAGGGAATATATGTTGCTCCTAACAACAACAATGACATTTCTTCAGGTTTCTGATTTCTTATTTTCTCATTTCCATCCTATATTTTCATTTCACCCTCTCAAACTTTTTACAGCTTCTGCAGATATCCGTACAAGATTGGGAGCATATAAACATTTTGTTGATCTGGATGATGCACATATTTCTCTTCTGGTGGAGGCAATAACAACATATCCTCATCTCTGGAATGCTTCCAAGAAGTTTAGTGAGCGCTTTCAAGCTTGGAGGTTGAAAATTTTGGCAGATATGTTGCTGTTCCTTCAGAAGGAAAGTGACGATAGTGTTATTCCTCAAAGAGAAAAAGAGTTCGGTAAACTATGTGAAGAAGCTATTGAAATTGGATTTGAGAGTTCATGGGTAGAGGAAATGCGTCAACGTGTTGTGGCGAGGGATCCTAAGCTGGGAGAGGACATTGCTAAGAGACAAATAGATGAGAATTCTAAGAGGTATGACTATTTTGTTAGATGAGTATACATTTGGTGGCATATGTAATTCTAACAAAATTGATAGCATCAATTTCTGAGTTTTTTGTTCTCTGGCAAGCAATTTAAGTTTGTTAAACAGGTGTAGTAGTGGGGACGTTGTTGAAGAAGGTGATGGGCCTAAGATTAGCTTGGAAGAAGGTTTTGACTTGGTTGATAAAGAAGGTGAAATAGGTGTTGCTTCTAATGACCACATTGTGACTCCGAGAAATGAAGAAGCAGAGGAGGAATTTGTTGCAGAAGTTTCCACTTCAGAAATACCAAGAATAGAAACATCATTAACAAACTCACAACCAATTGAAAGGCCAACTCCAAGTTGTTTGAATATGCCTCTACGTGAAACACCCGCAAATGTGAGTCTAATAAACATTTTTCCGAGTATTTGATGAAATAAAAGTATCGAGAGTATAGTTATTTTATTCATTACTTTGTTTAGGCATTGGTGGACAAACAGCGGATTAGTGAACCGTGTTTGATGAACCAACAAAAGCCGTTTGGAAAAATTGTAAGTGGCCCCGAAATTCCTCTGCTAAATGGAAAACAAAAATACCATCAATTGTTTTAAATTAATATGCATGTCCCCTTCTATCAGTAATAACATATCTAGCACATCACAGAAAGTAGTCAAGTATGCAAAGCTACATATCTTTTTGTTATTGTGCAGAAAATTGAGCAAGTTGCTGTGGAGGAAACCATAACAAAGAATACCATTATGGCACCTTCATCAATTCTTTCTGAACCTGCTAGCTCTCAGTTGGACCAGACAATTACTTTCCAAAGTAAATCACATCCACATGTAAGCATATTTTAAACAATTCAATCTCTAACTTGTTTGGTCAATATAAACATGACGTGGTCATTCTGATTTATCATTTGTCGCACAAGTGAAATTAAGAAAAACAAAACGTGCTGAATTTCAAATTAGAATTTAAATTTAATAAATTTGTTACCATGACGTTGATAGTTTAACTTCTACTTTTTGCTTTTCTATGATTTTATAAAATTTGGTGTTAAGAAACTAAATGCTTTGTAACTATTGTGGCTTGATGCTAACGTCTTTTCTGTTATATATTTTCTTCTTATTCCTCCCAGAGTGAAATTACGAGCAGTCAACCTGAGGCAGGCACTGGTAAAGAAATTGACCATCCTAAAATTATTCAAGGCTTTGGGACCAACAATGTCATAAGCTTATTTGCATCAGGAAAAGAGTGTGAAGATAGCCCAGTAGGAAAGACCCTCGCTGAGCTAGAAAAGTTTTTGAAGATGTCTCTGAAGGACGTAGTTAGCTCTGAAACTGACACTCTTCGTCTTTGGTCTACTCTTAATTTGCTGTCCAACCTTCCTTTCAAAGATTTGACTCTATCAGTTGGACTCAAACGTATTATAGACACTATGCTCCAACACTTCCCAACCATTCTACGTTCCTTTAAGCAAGGCTTTGCTTTCACCGATAAGTTGGGAAAGCTTGAAGCTTGTCAGAATGAGGTGGCCACTACTCTTGTTTCCAAAATTTCTGAGGCAGAGAATTTCTACAATGAAGCTCAACTGAAGGAAGTTGTTTTGAAGGAACAAATAAAAGTTTATGAGGCTGCCTTATCATCTTTGGAGAAGGAAAAGAATAAATGCATTGCGGAAACTATAGGGTACAAAAAGGAGCTTGAAAATGTGATGAAGGATAAATCTCAAATGTTGGAAGATAAAAGAAAAGTTGAGCAAGAGTTGTTTGACGTGGCTTACAAATGGTCAGATTTGTGTAGTGAATATGAGCTCAATCGCATGTCTGCTACAAATATCCCGTGAGGGTTTTCGTTGTTCATTGATATTGTTAATGTTGCTCTCATCAACTAGTTTCAATTTATTTCCTATATTTCAATTGTTTCATTTTGTTGTATGTCTATTATCTTGTTTGTTGTTGTGTAAGAGGTTGCTCTTTGCTACAAAGACAAGTGCTACGAAAAATCAAAAAGGCTATTTGTTCTTTTATGTAACTTAATATTATTTTTCCTTTAGACCTAAATAATAACATCTTCACTAAAAGGAGTATTGAGATATCATTTACTAAACTTCATCTCCTAGTTTGGAAGTAAACTTCATCACCGACAATTAGGAAGTTCTCAAAGCCACTTGCAATACCTTTTCTGTTTTGAGATTAATGATATTCACTTCTTCATTTTTTTTTTGTATTCAAATATCAACGCCACAATTGTAATGATATTTGTTTGTGCACAATTTTGGACCTCTTGAAATAAGTACAAGACTTTTGGAACAAACCAATCTGTTTGAGGACTTTTCGGCAACTCTAGTCAAAATAATTTACATCAACTATGGAGTTTCTAATATTTAAGTTGATTAATTGTAAAAATAAGTAAATAAGTTGTTAAAAATGAATTGGCTTATAACCATATGTAACACTTTATAACTTAATATCTTCTACATATAACCATACACCAATATTTCAACCGTTCAACATAATTAAAGATTTTATCCATTTAGAAAAATCTTTATATATATATATATATATTATTGCATAATTACCTTAATGCTTTCTAGAGTATATATCCAATATAATTATAACGATATACCATAACAATACATAAAATAGGGTTGGCTAATTTAATTAAAATAATTTATGATATAAATAATTTCGTCACTGGTTAAAAGTAACAAATTATATCAAGTTTAACTCATCCAATCATGTCCAAATGTAATTGATAGAAAAATTAAGATAAGCAACAATTCTTATAAATACCTCAAGTTCTAAAAAAAACGTTTATACTTAAAAGTCAAAAAATTGCAACAAATATTGATAGTGTGATATATTCCCAATAAAAAAAGTGGTAACTAGAGTTGTAGACCTCTTTTCTAAATTATTCCTAAGCGGTTGTAAATCTAACATCCAAATATACAACTTTATTCGTTCTTGGGACGAGGGAGGCTAGTTCGAAGAGCCAGGCGCATACTCCATTCTCGTGGCACAATGAGTGTTGCCGCAACGGGTTTGATTTCCGACGACATCGCTGATTGACTTAACCAGCAAAAACAGCACCCAACAAGACTTTTCACAAACAGTTTGGTGCTTGGAATTCCAAAAATTTAAACTTATGCAATAAACGA